TTTCTCCCTCAGCCTGTGTCTCTGCCTCTCTTTCTCTCATGAATAAATAAATAAAATCTTAAAAAAAAATAAAAATAAAAATAAAAAAATAAAAATTCTCAAAAATAAAATAAAAAACAATGAATGAAAATGAATTTCAGGTTCACGTGATCTAGGAAAATATTTGGCAATAAAGCTAATTTAAGTTTGTGAGTTTACTTAAAACAGGGATGTCTTTAGAGTTATCAACATTAAATATAAAGTGTTTATTCTATCTAGGTTTACTGAAATAAAATAAGCTCTGAGGGGGGCACTTGACGGGATGAGCACTGGGTGTTATACTATATGTTGGCAAATTGAACTCCAATAAAAAAATATACAAATAAAATAAGCTCATGTTATCTCTGTTACAAAACATGCCAATAATAGTTTGGTATAATGAAACTCTCACTTAAAAACAGCTTTCAAAATCTTTTTGGCAACTTGAAACTTTTAAAGTTTTGCTAAGTTATCTTATTATCCAAATAAGATAATGTAGCATTAATTACTGAACTTTTGGCTTCCTTATTACACAGAAATTAAAAATAAATTTGGATCCCTTAGCATTTTTTTTGTGCTTTAGTTAAAGATTGTACTATTAAAAAAAAAGATCGTACTATTAGAAAGCACATTTCCAGAAATTATGAAATGTGGGATGACTGGGTGGTTCAGTGGTTGAGCATCTGCCTTTGGCTCAGGTCATGATCTCGGAGTCCCAGGATCAAGTCCCACATCGGGCTCCCCATAGGGAGCCTGCTTCTCCTTCTGCCTATGTCTCTTCTTCTCTCTCATATTTATGAAAAAAATAAAATATAAAAAAGAAGAATCATGAAATGTATTCATAAATTTGCCAATTTAAAGATTCGTGATATAACAGTTCACAATTTTTTACTTAGTATTTGCTAGAAATTAAATTTTCTAAGAGTTAAGAATTCTAATTAATGTATGTGGTTAAAGGAACTAGAAACAGCAAGAGACGCTCATCTCTATATGAAAATAAAGTAAGATATATGCTTTCAGGAAAAGAAGGTATAAGGAATGGAAGTGCATTTTGTTGGTGGCGATTAAAAAATAATTTTGTCCTAAAATGAGGCTGATTATTTAAAGAGGGAAAACTTAGGATAAGATTTGAATGTTAAAAAAGAAAATGAAAAAGCTATAGAGGATTTGTGAAAAAAGATTCTTTGAAAAGGAATTTTCATATGTGGTCAAGCTGGCTAAGATTAAGATAATTTTATTGAAGAATGAGTTTTAATATCAAAAGTACACTAGTAGAAAATTAAAATTTGGTTTTCTTTTTCTAAAAGGACAAAGGTTTTCTTTTTGTATATTTTTTTATGGAGTTCGATTTGCCAACATATAACACCCAGTGCTCATCCTGTCAAGAGCCCCCTCAGTGCCCATCACCCAGTCACCCTGTCCCCCCACCCACCTCCCTTTCTACTACCCCTGGTTCGTTTCCCAGAGTTAGGTGTCTCTCATGTCCTGTCACACTCACTGATATTTCCCACTCATTTTCTCTCCTTTCCCCTATAATCCCTTTCACTATTTCTTACATTCCCCAAATGAATGAGACCATATAATGTTTGTCCTTGTCCGATTGACTTACTTCACTCAGCATCATACCCTCCAGTTCCATCCATGTTGAAGCAAATGGTGGGTATTTGTCGTTTCTAACGGATGAGTAATATCCCAATGTATACATAGACCACATCTTCTTTATCCATTCATCTTTCCCCTTTCTCCACATCCTCTCCAACATTTGTTGTCTTGTTAATCTCTCGATGGACACCAAAGCTCCTTCCACAGTTCGGCTATTGCAGACATTGCTGCTATAAACATCGGGGTGCAGGTGTCCCGGTGTTTCACTGCATCTGTATGTTTGGGATAAATCCCCAGCAGTGCAATTGCTGGGTTATAGGGCGGATCTATTTTTAACTCTTTGAGGAACCTCCACACAGTTTTCCAGAGTGGCTGTACCAGGTTACATTCCCACCAACAGTGCAAGAGGGTTGCCCTTTCTCCACATCCTCGCCAACATTTGTTATTTCCTGTCTTGTTAATTTTCACCATTCTCACTGGTGTGAGGTGGTATCTCATAGTGGTTTTGATTTGTATTTTCCTGATGGCAAGTGATGCAGAGCATTTTCTTATGTGCTAGTTGGCCATGTCTATGAAGGACAAGTTTTTTTGAACTATTGGCTTGCTCTTGATAAGAGATTACAGAGTTTTTAATTATTTTTTTACCTTTCAAAATTAACTGCCTGGAAAACAGGTATTGTCTATTTTATTAAAATAATATTCTGTGATTATATCTTTATCATCAGTCTTTAAATAAGAAAACAGGAGTCTTTTTAATATTAAAAAAGGCTAAATTTTACTCACGATTATGTAACTTTCTGTATTTGCCTGTGAAGTCTTTGTCACTTTGGTTAAATAGAACTAAGCCACCTATTATCCTAATAGTCATGTGTCCGAAACCTTTTGATATTTTTGACAAACTTCTTCAAATCAAATTTAAAATGAAGTCTTTTGACCACAAATCAACTCTGAAATTTCCAGAGGGTCATCGGAACATTCAAAGGGTTGTTCTTTCTCGTTATAAAAAGGGAGAGACTAAACTATAATGAGGCTTATTTGGCATGTTAAATTACATGGGAAGCATTGTCAAGTAGGTGAAGCTAAATCTTGTATAGTTTATGTAAATATTATTAATATGTGTACTAGACATTGTGTAAAATATCTAAAATTGTGGTATGTCCTGATGTAATATTATCAGCCATAACTCTAATTATTATTTTAAAATGTTATACGTCACAAGAATGACCAAATTTGTTCATCACTTGCATTGTAATGAGCTCTAATCAGACCTTTATGCCGTATTTAAGACTTTTAAATAAACAGTAGCTTATAGACAGTTTTCAAGGGGGATAAAAATGTGTTTTATTTTCAAATACATTCATAAAAATCTGATAATTACTCTACAATACAGTTTTCTGATCATGTCAGCACATAAAACTGAACTGGGTAAAAATTTCTAAAACTAGTGGAAAAACTGGATTCTGACAGAACAAAATTTAATAATGGGACCAAATGAACTGAATTTTAATTTTTATGACTTGTTTAAGACATTGATGACTCTCTAATGTTGTTTCTCTAGATTTTGAAGAAGTGTTTTTCTGTTTTCTCTTAAGCTATCAACAGTTTGGTATGATATACCTTGTGAACAAAGATGAAACATTTACTTTTTCTCCCTACCTGATTTCTCCAAAATTCAAAAACTCTTTGAGAATTCTTTTTATGGCAAGATAATTAGTTGTTTACGTAAGTTCAATGAGAATCTGTTTTCCTCATAATAATAGGACAGTGATTATATTATCAAAACTTTGACTGGAATATCATCCTCAGAAGAGAGGTACATCAACTTGAATAAGATCATGTCACAGATAGACCCCAGGACCTGGCCTCTATTGCCCATCTGCTTGGACTCACCAACTTCATCTTATATTTTCACCTAAGCTCTTCTTTCTGACTTTCCTCTTGAGTCAGGTAAAAGAAACCAGAAACGACTCTCCAGGTGATGGTGATTGCCCTGACAAGTCCTCCTGCCCCAGACCATGCAGACCCTTTAAGCTAAATCTGACTCATGCCTGTGCAGATGGACCATGGGGGGAGGTCTAGAATACCTGCAGTTACCTTTACTTCATTATAATACTAAAACCTCTGCCCAAGGAGGAGCTTCAGCCTCATTTACTAACATACAGTGTATGTATAGGCTTGTGTCTGTAAGTTGCATGTGTGACCTTACCTGCCTCTACATAGGGTGAAAAGGCTTACCTACCTAAATATTCATCCTAATCCTAAACAAAAGGAACACATTCACCCACCCTCTGGAAGTCATAGCTTTGGAAGCCATGAGATCACCCTTGTGATCTCATTATCTGCTGCAAATAAAAATTTTCCTTGTGTGACGAACAACTTGATGCATTTTCTGACTCACCATGGAGTGAACTCATATTAATTAGTTCACAATCAGTCAGTTTTAGGAACTAAACATGAGTACACTGAGCTAAAAAGCCCCATGAAAAAAAAATCAACCTGGTACCTTGGCTTAAAAGCTTCCCAGTAGAATTGATCTCAAAGATACAGATGCAGTGAAACTCCGGGGCACTGCACCCCGATGTTTATAGCAGCAATGTCCACAATAGCCACACTGTGGAAGGAGCCTCGGTGTCCATCAAAAGATGAATGGATAAAGAAGATGTGGTCTCTGTATACTATGGAATATTACTCAGCCATTAGAAACGACAAATACCCACCATATGCTTCGACGTGGAGGGACCTGGAGGGTATTATGCTGAGTGAAATAAGCCAATCTGAAAAGGACAGTCTTCCTCAATTTCTTCCAGAAGTGTTATTCTATATGTTGGCAAATTGAATACCAATAAAAAATAAATTTATTAAAATAAAAAAAGAAAATATGGTACCTCATCCCAAGCAATTATTAAAATTTCAGATATGTCAAAAAAAAAGAAGATACAATACCTCATCCCAAGCAATTATTAAAATTTCAGATATGTCAAAAAAAAGGAAAAGGACAAACATTATATGGTCTCATTCATTTGGGGAATGTAAAAATTAGTGAAAGGGAATAAAGGGAAAGGAGAGAAAATGAGTGGGAAATATCAGTGAGGGAGACAAAACATGAGAGACACCTAACTCTGGGAAATGAACAAGGGGTAGTGGAAGGGGAGGTGGGTGGGGGTTGGGGTGACTGGGTGACAGGCACTGAGGGGGGCACTTGGTGGGATGAGCACTGGGTGTTATGCTAAATGTTGGCAAATTGAACTCCAATTAAAAAAAAATTGAAAAAAAAAAAAAAGCTTCCCAGTAAATCAGTTTTAAAAAAACCAACAGAAAACATCTCATAGAGTACTCCATCACTATTCTTGTACTTATGTAATAATCAGGCCAAATTTAATACAGAAAAATTAGTTTTATTATTAAAAATGAGGGTCATTTTAAATAAAAGAAATTATCCCCACATCTTTATTTATATTAGATTATAATCCTGATAATTGTCTTTGAGGTTGTGTTATATACCTGTAAATTGGACTGGATCCTGAATTCTAGTTTTCTAAAAAATCTGGTTACAACTCTCCAAACTAATGTTTCCAATTTCCTCTCACCCTTCTCATTTGGAAGTAAGAACAACAACATGCCTTGAATCTCCTTGGAAAGGACATACCAGGGCTTCCTCATGACCCAGATGACACTACTCAAACTTCAGGGATATGCACCTCACAGCTGGAAAAAGAGTCTGCAGGACAAGTGGTCCTGGACAAGCACTGGAGACCTCCAAATCAAACTGACTAGGAACAGACGTTGAGGTAAATGGCTTCTGCCCAAGATCTTGGATCAGGACTTTATACTTTAACACGAATCCCTTTCTTCTCTTCCTTTGCTTTACTCTGATACAGGCCTGGAAAGATGATGTCATTATCTATATCTCCCGGGCCTTTCTAAGAGGAAGTGGGTGGAAACTTTGTCTTTCAGACTGCTGGATTTGTCATGATCTAAAAAGAAAAGAAAAGAAAAGACCAAAAATCAGCAAACAAACAAAAACAGAGGCACCTGGGGGGCTTAATTGGTTAAGCATCTGCCTTCAGCTCAGGTCATGATCCAGCCCCACACTGGGCTCCCTGCTCAGTGGCTGCTCCTCCCTCTGCCCCTTCCCCTGTTTGTGCTCTCTCTTGAGCTCTCACTCTCTCACTCTAATAAATAAATACAATCTTTTTAAAAAAGACAAACACTGCCTTGATAACGACAGCTTTGTAGTACAACCTGAAATCTGGTACTGTGATGCCCCCAGCTTTGGTTTTCTTTTTTAATATTCCCCTGGCTATTCGGGGTCTTTTCTGATTCCACACATATCTTAAGATAATTTGTTCAACCCTCTGAAGAAAGTCCATGGTATTTTGATAGGGATTGCATTAAATGTGTAAATTACCCAAGGTAGCATGGACATTTTCACAATAGCAATTCTTCCAATCCATAAGCATGGAATATTTTTCCATCTCCTTGTGTCTTCCTCAATTTCTTTTAGCCGTGTTCTGTAGTTTTTCGGGTATAGATCATTTCCCTCTTTGGTTAGGTTTATTCCTAGGTCTCTTATGCTTTTGGGTGCAATTGTAAATGGTATTGACTCACTAATTTCTCTTTCTTCAGTCTCATTGTTAGTGTATAGAAATGCCACTGACTTCTGGGCATTGATTTGGTATCCTGCCACACTGCCAAATTGCTGTATGAGTTCTAGCAATCTTGAGGTGGAGTCTTTTTGGTTTTCTATGTACTGGCACAAAAACAGACACATCCATCAATGGAACAGAAGAGAGAATCCAGAAGTGGACCCTCAACTCTATGGTCAACTAATATTTGACAAAGCAGGAAAGACCATCCACTGGAAAAAAAGACAGTCTCTTCAATAAATGGTGCTGGGAACACTGGACAGCCACACACAAAGGAATGAAACTGGACCATTCTCTTACACCATACACAAAGATAAACTCAAAATGGATGAAAGATCTAAATGTGAGACAAGAATCCATCAAAATCCTAGGGGAGAACCTAGGCAACACCCTTCTTGAACTTGGCCACAGCAACTTCTTGCAAGATACATCCATGAAGGCAAGAGAAACAAAATCAAAAATGAATTATTGGGACTTCATCAAGATAAGAATCTTCCGCACAGCAAAAGAAACACTCAACAAAACTAAAAGACAACCTCCAGAATGGGAGAAGATATGTGCAAATGACCTGTCAGACAAAGGGCCAGTATCCAAGATCTCTAAAGAACTTATTCAACTCAACAGCCAAGAAACCAAAAACCAATCCTGAAATGGGCAAAAGACATGAACAGAAATTTCACAGAGGAAGGCATAGACATGGCCAACAAGCACATGAGAAAATGCTCTACATCACTGGCCATCAGGGTCAAAACCACAATGAGATACCACCTCACACCAGTGAGAATGGGGAACATTAACAAGACAGGAAACAACAAATGTTGGAGAGGATGTGGTGAAAGGGGAACCCTCTTGCACTGTTGGTGGGAATGTGAACTGGTGCAGCTACTCTGGAAAACTGTGTGGAGGTTCCTTGAAGAGTTAAAAATACATCTGTCCTATGATCCAGCAATTGCACTGGTGGAGATGTACCCCAAAGATACAGATGCAGTGAAACACTGGGAGGCCTGCACCCCGATGTTTCTAACAGCAATGTCCACAATAGCCACACTGTGGAAGGAGCCTCGGTGTCCATCGAAAGATAATGGATAAAGAAGATGTGGTCTGTATACAATGGAATATTACTCAGCCATTAGAAACGACAAATACCCACCATATGCTTCAACGTGGATGGAACTGGAGGGTATTATGCTGAATGAAATAAGTCAATCAGAGAAGGACAAACGTTATATGGTCTCATTCATTTGGGGAATATAAAAAAATAGTGAAAGGGAATAAAGAGGAAAGGAGAAAAAATGAGTGGGAAATATAAGAAAGGGAGACAGAACATGGAAGACTCCTAACTCGGGGAAACGAACAAGGGGTGGAAGAAAGGGAGGTGGGCAGGGGGTGGGGGTGATTGGGTGATGGGCACTGAGGGGGGCACTTGATGGGATGAGTACTGGGTGTTATATGTTGGCAAATTGAACTCCAATAAAAACAAACAAACAAATAAACAAACCTCCCAACACACAAAAGTCCAGGGCCAGTGGCTTCTCAGGGGAATTCTATCAAACATTTAAAGAAGAAACCATACATATTCTACTAAAGCTGTTCCGAAAGATAGAAAGAGATGGAGTACTTCCAAACTCGTTCTATGAGGCCAGCATCACCTTAAGTCCAAAACCAGACAAAGACCCCACCAGAAAGGAGAATTATAAACCGATATCCCCAATGAACATGGATGCAAACATTCTTAACAAGATAGCCAATAGGATCCAACAATACATTAAGAAGTTACTCACCATGACCAAGAGGGATTTATCCCCGGGATGCAAGGCTGGTTCAACACTGGTAAAGCAGTCAATGTGATTGATCAGATCAGCAAGAGAAAAAACCAGAACCAGATGATCCTCTCAATAGATGCAGAGAAAGCATTTGACAAAATACGGCATCCATTCCTGATCCAAATGCTTCAGAGTACAGGGATAGAGGGAACGTTCTTCAGTGTCTTCAAAGCCATCTACGAAAAGCCCACAGCAAATTATCATTCTCAGTGGGGAAGCACTGGAAGCCTATCCCCGAAGATCAGGAACGAGACAGGGATGTCCAATCTCACCACTGCTATTCAACATAGTACTAGACGTCATAGCCTCAGCAATCAGGCAACAAAAAGAAATAAAAGCCATTTAAATTGGCAAAGAAGAAGTCAAACTCTCCCTTTTCCCAGATGACGTGATATTGTACCTAGAAAGCCCAAAAGACTCCACCCCAAGATTGCTAGAACTCATACAGCAAATTCGGCAGTGTGGCAGGATACCAAATCAATGCCCAGAAATCAGTGGCCTCTCTAGACACTAACAATGAGACTGAAGAAAGAGAAATTAAGGAGGCAGTCCCATTTACAATTGCACCCAAAATCATAAGATACCTAGGAATAAACCTAACCAAAGAGATAAAGGATCTATACCTGAACAACTACAGAACATGTCTGAAAGAAACTGAGGAAGACACAAAAAGATGGAAAAATATTCCATGCTCATGGATTGGAAGAATTAATATTGTGAAATTGTCAGCGTTACCCGGGGCAATTTACACGTTTAAGCAATCCCTATCAAAATACCATGGATTCTCTTCAGAGGGTTGCAACAAATCATCTTAAGATTTGTGTGTAATCAGAAAAGACCCCGAATGGCCAGCGGAATAGCGGAATATTAGAAAAGAAAACCACAGCTGGCGGCATCACAATGCCAGATTTCAGGTTGTACTACAAAGCTGTGCTCATCAAGACAGTTGGTACCGGCACAAAAACAGACACATAGATCAATGGAACAGAATAGAGAATTCAGAAGTGGACCCTCAACTTTATGGTCAACTAATATTCAACAAAGGAGGAAGACTATGCATTGGAAAAAAAGACAGTCTCTTTAATAAATGGTGCTGGGAAAATTGGAGATCTCAGAAGCTTTAAATGCATGCTTGTAGTCACTAGCCACGGGGCACATGATCTCCTTAAGATTCAAACATCAGGAAAAGGAAAAAAAAAGAAGATGATGACTTAAAAATTGTGAAGCTGAAATAACCTGTGAATACTAAAGAAATTAAACAAAAACGTCATGACCTGTGAATACCTCACACAGGGTTCACCAAAAGCTGTGAGAACTAGAGTGCTATCTGAGAGTGGCACCAATGCCTTAAAAAACTTTTTTATAAATTTATTTTTTATTGGTGTTAAATTTGCAAATATATAGAATAACATCCAGTGCTCATCCCATCAAGTGCCCCCCTCAGTGCCCATCACCCAGTCACCCCACCCCATCCACCCACCTCCCCTTCTACCACCCCTAGTTCATTTCCCAGAGTTAGGAGTCTCTCATGTTCTGTCTCCCTTTCTGATATTTCCCACTGATTTCTTCTCCTTTCCCCTTTATTCCCTTTCACTATTTTTTATATTTCCCAAATGAATAAGACCATATAATGTTTGTCCTTCTCCGATTGACTTATTTCATTCAGCATAATACTCTCCAGTTCCATCCATGTCGAAGTAAATGGTGGGTATTTGACATTTCTAATGAATGCCTTAACATTTGATCACATCTCTTTCTCAGTTAAGCTAAGAGATAGATCAAAAGGAAGGAATTGTAAAATAAGCCCCCAAACCAAAAAACTACACAGGCCCCCCAAAAGACCCCCCAACAGTAAGGCAAAATTTAACAGTAACCTAACTACAGTTCAAGCCTTCAGGAATGTAACCTACAGCCAAAAGGACTGTTCACACTAGGAGGCTCTTCCCTATTAGGAGAGCGACTTGGCCTAAATACATTCTTTGCTAATAAACTCCCCCCTTTTATTTATTTATTTATTTATTTATTTATTTATTTATTTATTATTTATTTATTTATATTTATGATAGTCACACACACACAGAGAGAGAGGCAGAGACATAGGCAGAGGGAGAAGCAGGCTCCATGCACTGGGAGCCCGACGTGGGATTCGATCCCGGGTCTCCAGGATCGAGCCCTGGGCCAAAGGCAGGCGGTAAACCGCTGCGCCACCCAGGGATCCCCTAAACCCCCCCTTTTAAATGCATTTCCCTGTCTTTAAAAACCTTCCCTTTTCTGGAGCTCAGTGGGGCTCCCCACTGCTTGCTAGAATGAGAGCTGCTGGATTCATGAAACATTTAATAAAGCCAATTAGATCTTAAAATATATTTTTATAATAACATTACTATATTGATGAGGGAGCAGAAGGCAAGCAGAAGGCAAAGCACAAGCTGACACTCCCCCGCTCCCCCCAAGGAAAATGAAATGATTAACTGATAAAGATCACAGTCCTGGACATGACTCTCCACCTATTTACAAGTGTCTTAGTGATTTACAAGAAAAAGCAATCTTATCAACACTCTAACTTCCAGAAACCCATAGACTCAATTTCCTAGAGCCCTAACACCACTCTCCCATCCACAATGAGCTAGAAAACAGAGGCAGAAGGGAATGTAGATAAAACTAAATTTCCTCATAACCCGCAGCCCACTGACAAATACTTGAGGTGGGCAGAGAACATTCCTCCAGGAAGCTCCCAACTATCTTCATGTTAATGCATTGTTAGAGGGAAGGAAAACCCTCCCTTGGCAAAGGCAAGATCTCTAGCACCCTGAGAGTCTTTAACATGACAGTCCTTCTGGACACCTCCCTCTGTCCTTACCTCCCCCCACTCCAAAGTATAGAACCAACCACCCCTCACAACCCCAGGGCACTCTTTTTGCACCAAAGATGTCTCAAGACTTCTTTCTTGGCCATTGGCTCCAGACTCCAACACTCCAAATCACATCAACATCATCCAGTGATTTCATTTCTGAGAATATATCCATAGGAAACCAAAACGAATTTGAAAGGATATCTGCATCCCGTGTTCATAGCGGCATTTTTATAATAGCCAAGACATGGAAATAACCAAAGTGTCCACCAACACATGAAGGGATAAAGAAGTTGTGGCATATACATACACAATGGAATATTATTTAGTCATTTAAAGCAACAAACAATGGCAAGGAAATCTTGCCATTTGTGACATCATGGATGGACCTTGAAGCCATTACACTAAATGAGGTAAGTCAGTGTGGGGGAGCAAAATTTGCCATCCCAAAATGTCTCTATTGGGATGCCTGGCCGCCTCAGCTGGTAGAGCACATATGTGATCCTTGATCTCAGGGTCATGGAGTTCAAGCCTCACATTGGTAGAGTTTACTTAAAAATAATTGTATCCTCTGCATAAGGACTATTTTAGGTTTATTATCTTTTTTAAGAAACTAGAAACATAGGAGAAGCTCTGAAAACCAAGTAGAAGTTACTCTTTTGTAAGAGATATTTACAAGGGAACTTATGAGGGGATTTTCCATTTGTCAGGGTGTCTCCCAGCTACAAGAAGGGGAGGATTCCAAATCTCTAGAAATACTTATTGATGAATTAGATGACTTCAAACTACACAATAAACTTATCCTCATTTACTGTGCCTTTCCCGATAACTGACTTCCCACCGCCAACATATTATTCATCTTTGGCTGATGGTGGTATTATTTCAGGTGATGGCTTTGGCCATTTCGGAGTTACTCAGTTTTTCTGGGTCTCTCCCATGTATAGATGGTCCTAAAGCTTTTATTTTCCCTGTTCATCTATTTTATAACAATGTAATTATTAGGCCAGCCCAAAAACCTAGAAGGGAAGAAACACTTTTTTGCCCCTACATCAGAGAAAGATGCATATTGTATGTTTTCATTTATATGTGGAATCTTAAAACAAAACAAAAAGCCACAGAAAAAACGAAATCAGATTTGTGGTTACTGGAGGCTGGCGGAGGGGAAGTCTGAGGAAGATGGTTAAAAGGTACAAACTTCCAGTTCTAAGATAAAGTAGTACTCAGGATGTGATGTATGAGAGGATGACACTAACACTGCTGTATGATATACATGAAAGTTGTTGCGAGTAAATCCCAAATTCTCATGACAAACAAAAAAAAATTACTTTTTTAAAAATTCTATCTCCGTGACAAGATGGATGAGAACCATGATCATAATTTCACAACATGCTGTACACCTTAGACTTACGCAGCAATGTATGTCAATTATATTTCAAAAAAACTGGGGGAAAGGCTTATTGTAGAGAACATGCAAGTGAACCATGTAACCATAAGGCATTCCTTTAGGAGGGCCCTTCTGAAAACAAGTGATCACCTGGTGGAGTGCAGGAGCATCACTGCTTCCCCTTCCCTCCTTCAAGCCCCCCTCTTCTGCACCCCCATCCCCCTTGGGTGCCCAGAGCAAAGAAAGGTCCCTGAACTGGGAACAAATTACTAGTGTATCTTGGGCAGACAGATGAGTCTCCCTACCCTCTCAACTGAAACTAAACACACATGTCACAAACTCATGTCCTCTTTTGCAGGAAAAAGCTGCTTCTTCTTTTCTTCTTCTTTTAAAGCTTTGGGATTTGGTTTTTGTTAGAATGCAGAGCACCTGGGACAGGTTAGTGGCACTCAGTTCTTCACTGTGAGAGGAATTTGATGGGAAAACTCAGTGAAACTGGCTTTGAATTCTGGAGGAGAAAAATATAGAGGAAAATAGGAATTAGGGGAAAGAAGAAGAGCATCTTAAAGGTTGAAAGCTCAGCATAAACTTCCACATTTTACTAAGACCTGTTCCCAAAATCAGTAAAACAAGTGATCTTCTGTAATCTTTTATTAGTATGCACAGCAGAGGAGGAAAGCAATGGAGAAAGACCTGAAATTTTATCTATTATTATGCTAACCTTTTAAATTTTGTCAGAAGTTCTAAATTGACTCATTTCCTCTTGTTAAGTGATCCCTCTTTATTGTGGTGGTTGGCCTGCCAGTAGGGGGTAGGTGGGAGGGGTAAGGAGGAGGGGTGTCTATTTTCAGGCAGCTCTACTCCTTCCTATCAAACCAGATGGGAACTCAAGAGGCAGAGGGAGGAAGGGAAGGCATACAGGAGACCATGAGCAGTAAAAGCCTCTGGGCACTGAATTAGTGAACAGTCCGGATGATGGAGGTCGCAACGACCAGGTAAACTTAAATACGATTATGTGGCACTAATTGAGTGACTTGTGCCCATAAGTAGATCAGAACATGCTACATCTGGAGCAACCAGGGGTGCTTAGGGGCTGTCCATAGGGTACCCCAAACCCGCAGGGAAATCCATGAAGAAATAGAACTACTTAGGACTCTCGATTCACATTTTGGTGGTGAACATTTTCTCTCCTCCTTTCCCCCAATAGGAGGTGCCTCTGGAGAAAAACAAACAAAAAGCACTCCTTAAACAAAGGAGTGGCAACCCTTTACTTTCTCCCATAGTCAGGCTTTTTACAAAAATATTTTATTTAAATTCAATTTGCCAACATATAGAATAACCCCAGTGCTCATCCCATCATCTGCCCTCCTTAGTGCCTGTCCCCCAATCACCCATCCCCCATCCCTTCCCATTCTACAGCCCTTTGTTTCCCAGAGTTAATGGTGTCTCATGGTTTGTCTTCCTCTCTGATTTTTCCCCCCTCAGTTTGTCACAACTCTTAAAGTCAGGAAAGCAGGAACTGCCTCACTGGTTTGCTTGAGACCAAGTAGTTGATTGAGATTCTGTGCTCAGTACTGGTCAGTAGGATGTAAGAGTCATGAGGGCAGCTGGTCAGTTGGCTGTGAGAGGTATGAGGGGAGCAGTGGTCAGTAGGCCATGAGCCACAGGGCAGCAGTGCTCAGGAGGCCGTGAGCTAGGAGGGCAGCACTGGTCAGTGGGCCGTGGGAGTTATGAGGGCAGCAGTGATCAGTAGGCTGTGGGAGTTAGGAGGGCAGCAGCGATCAGTAGGCTGTGGGAGTTAGGAGGGCAGCAGCGATCAGTAGGCCGTGGGAGTTAGGAGGGCAGCAGCGATCAGTAGGCCGTGGGAGTTAGGAGGGCAGCAGCGATCAGCAGGCCGTGGGAGTTAGGAGGGCAGCAGCGATCAGTAGGCCGTGGGAGTTAGGAGGGCAGCAGCGATCAGCAGGCCGTGGGAGTTAGGGGGGCAGCAGCGATCAGCAGGCCGTGGGAGTTAGGGGGGCAGCAGCGATCAGCAGGCCGTGGGAGTTAGGAGGGCAGCAGCGATCAGCAGGCCGTGGGAGTTAGGGGGGCAGCAGCGATCAGCAGGCCGTGGGAGTTAGGGGGGCAGCAGCGATCAGCAGGCCGTGGGAGTTAGGAGGGCAGCAGCGATCAGCAGGCCGTGGGAGTTAGGGGGGCAGCAGCGATCAGCAGGCCGTGGGAGTTAGGAGGGCAGCAGCGATCAGCGGGCCGTGGGAGTTAGGAGGGCAGCAGCGATCAGTAGGCCGTGGGAGTTAGGGGGGCAGCAGCGATCAGCGGGCCGTGGGAGTTAGGAGGGCAGCAGCGATCAGCAGGCCGTGGGAGTTAGGAGGGCAGCAGCGATCAGCAGGCCGTGGGAGTTAGGGGGGCAGCAGCGATCAGCGGGCCGTGGGAGTTAGGGGGGCAGCAGCGATCAGCAGGCCGTGGGAGTTAGGAGGGCAGCAGCGATCAGCAGGCCGTGGGAGTTAGGAGGGCAGCAGCGATCAGCAGGCCGTGGGAGTTAGGAGGGCAGCAGCGATCAGCAGGCCGTGGGAGTTAGGAGGGCAGCAGCGATCAGCAGGCCGTGGGAGTTAGGAGGGCAGCAGCGATCAGCAGGCCGTGGGAGTTAGGAGGGCAGCAGCGATCAGCAGGCCGTGGGAGTTAGGAGGGCAGCAGCGATCAGCAGGCCGTGGGAGTTAGGAGGGCAGCAGCGATCAGCGGGCCGTGGGAGTTAGGGGGGCAGCAGCGATCAGCAGGCCGTGGGAGTTAGGAGGGCAGCAGCGATCAGCAGGCCGTGGGAGTTAGGAGGGCAGCAGCGATCAGCAGGCCGTGGGAGTTAGGAGGGCAGCAGCGATCAGCAGGCCGTGGGAGTTAGGGGGGCAGCAGCGATCAGCGGGCCGTGGGAGCCACGGGGGCAGCACTGGTCAGCGGGCCGTGGGTCACGGGCGCAGGCTCCTCGTCTGCCTGGCAGGTGGACGCCCTGCTGAGCCAGCAGCTGCCGCGGGACGCGTGGCCGACGGTGGGCAGCACGGAGCGAGCCGGGGCAGCGAGGGGGGCAGGGAGCCGGGGTGGCCGGGCCGGAAGGGGGCCCTTGGCCTCACCTGCGAGCAGTGGCGCGAAGGCCAGGCTGCAGGCCCGCAGGAGACCGCGCCGAGCGGCTGGGCTCACGGCTGGGCTCACGGCTGGGGCCACGTCCGTTCCCTGCGGTAAACGCGGGGCAGTCAGTCCGCGCGCCTGCACAGGTGGGCGCCGGCCCCCCAGGCGCGCCCCCACCCGGGGGGCCTTTCTGCCGCTTGGGAACCGCCGGCCCCTCACAGCCAGACTCGGAATGGCCTCTGCTGTAAGCCTGGGGCAGCCGCCGGCTTCCCCCACACGGAACGCGCTTCCCCCACAGCAGCAGGCCGGCTGCGCGGCAGGCGAGCCCGCACGCACCAGCCTCGGCCCGCACCCGCCGCCGGGCGGGGCCGCGGCTCTTCCCGGGCGGGCCAGAGGACTTGCGCCTGCGTGGGAGCAGCCCCCCCGGTGGCCCACCCCGATTGGTCCCTCCTGTTCTTCCCGCCCCCCCGCCCAGTCCTGGCCAATGAGATGCGGGCACCGCAGGTCCCGCCTGACAGGAGAGGCCCTGCTGCGCTGTTCCCCCAGTGCCGAGAATTGGGAAAGGCCAGGGCGGCCCGAGGGCGTGGTTCCCTGGTTCTGCGCCGCCCACCACCCCACCCCCTGGAGATGTCCTACCACGCCTGACCCTCTTCCCACCTGCTCTGCAAAACGCGGAGCACAAGGTACCGAGATGCTCGAACCTCTGACCAGTCCTGCACCCTGGGCTGCGGGTGGCCTATGCTTCTAGGGGGGTTGGACCCCTGAGACCTTTCCCAGCGCGCTCCACGACGGCGAAACCCTGGGCTGAGCCGTTTGAGAGCCACCCACGCTGCGCACGCGCACGCGCACGCGCACCATCGGGGTAGGCCCCTCCCTAGCTTAGGGACCGGAACGCACCCGCAGTCTCTGTGATGACTCAGGGACGGAGCCCTCCTACCCTCGAGGGCAAGAATGCTAGAAGGCTTCCCTGGGTGTTTTCACACCTGACTTTTGCAGCACGTGCAAAACCCCTGCTTTTAGGGGGGAAGCAACCTAAGGACCCATTGAAAGATGAATACATAAGCAAAACTTGATATATACACACAAGGGACTATTACTCAGCCTTAAAAAGAAAGAAATCCTGTTATGAGCAACAACATGCGTAGCCCTGAGGACATTATGCCAAGTGAAGTAAACCAATCACAAAAAGACAAATACAGCTTAATATGAGGTATTTCAAGTGGTCAGACTTTTAGGAACTAAGTAGAATGGTGACTGCCAGGAGGGAGGGGGGAGAGGAGTCATTCAAAAGGTATAGAGTTTCAATTTTGAAAGATAAAAAAGTTCTGGGGATCTCTTGCATAATGATGTACATATAGTTAGCAGGACTATATCACGCACTTAAAAATGATAAAGATGGAAAGTTTTGTTATGTGTTTGTTTAGTTTTACAACAATTTAAAAAACCCATATTCCTTTGACATTTGCCCCTGCTGCCTTAGATTCACCACCTACTGACTTATTTCTGAACCTTTATCAAGGGTTTTTTGTTTGTTTGTTTGTTTGTTTTTTGACAGGAATTTATTATTGGAATATTTGGGTTTTTTTAAATTTTTTTATTGGTGTTCAATCTGCCAACATATAGAACAACACCCAGTGCTCATCCCCCTCAGAGCCCATCACCCAGCCACCCCCACCCCCACCCACCTCCCCTTCCCCCACCCCTAGTTCGTTTCCCAGAGTTAGGAGTCTCTCATGTTCTGTCTCCCTTTCTGATATTTCCCACACACTTCTTCTCCCTTCCCTTATATTCCCTTTCACTATTATTCATATTCCCCAAATGAATGAGACCATATAATGTTTGTCCTTCTTCAATTGACTTATTTCACTCAGCAGAATACCCTCCAGTTCCATCCACCCCGAAGCAAACGGTGGGTGTTTGTCGTTTCTAATGGCTGAGTAGTATTCCATTGTATACATAGACCACATCTACTTTATCCATCATCTTTCGATGGACACCGAGGCTCCTTCCACAGTTTGGCTATTGTGGACACTGCTGCTATAAACATCAGGGTGCACGTTTCCTGGCGTTTCATTGCATCTGTATCATGAAGTGTTGTGACCCTTGTTTCATAACTTTCCTCTACAGCCCTGTGCAGAAGAAATTTCTCCAATGGTGAAAATGTATATCTGCGCCAACACATATTGTAATGAGTTGCATTGTGGCCCCAAAGATACGCCCACATCTAAATCCCTAGAACCTGTGAATACTACTTTATATGGCAATAGGCGTGATTAAGTTAAAGATCCAGAAGAGTTGCTCTACTTATCCTAGATTAAGTTAAAGATCCATATTGAGTTGCTCTACTTATCCTAGATTATCTGGGCCCTAAATGCACTCACTCACATCTTTGCGAGAGGAGCAGAGAGAGTTTTGAGACAAATACAGGGGAGAAGACACAGAAGAAAGGAGGCTATGAGACCATGGAGCTGGAAACTGTAGGAATATAGCCAGGAGCCAAGGAGGACTGACAGGTACTGGAAGCTGGAAGAGGCAAGGAACTGGATTCTTCCCTAAAGCCTGAGAGTGAGCATAGCCCTCCCAACATCTGATTGGCCCCCAGAACTGTGAGCAAGTCTTTTTCTGTTGTTTTAAGTAACTGGGTCTGTGGTAATCTGTTACAGCAGCCCTAGGGAAATATTATAAGTAACTCATATGGTTCTTGAAGTAATTGCACACTTGGAATATGGTTATTAGAATGGGGAATGGAAAATTTAATTTTAATTAATTTAAACTCAAGTAGCCCAAACTCGGAAGCTATCATGCTGAGTTGCTCTAACTGTGCCCTTTGCCTGCACTCTACTCTCACACAGTCACACAATAAAATTTCTGACGCCCTGACAACTGTTCCTGAACAGGACCTGCCATTCCTAGTGCTCTAACTCCCACTCCAGATCTCTTCGACATCTCACTTCTGTTCCCACCAGAGAGTGTTTGAGCACGTGGATCCCTTCTGGTTCCTTTCCTCTAGTAAACAAGGAGAGCTTTAAGCTTTGTTTTCAAGACATTTTAAGAGTGACACTACATAAAATGTTAAGTGGAAAGCCAGCATACCACCTTACGAGGGAGAAAGTATAAAATGTCTAAGGTAAATATCTCCAAGGGCTTGCAGTGGGAGCCACATTTGTATTTTAAAATTTTCCAGTAGCTTTACTAAGAAAAGTAAAAGAAACCAGTAAAATTGACTCCAATAATATATTTTATTTAACCCTATATATCCAAAATACAATTTCAATATATAATCGAATGGAAAATGTTAATGAAATAGTTTCCATTTTCTTTCTTTTTGTGCTAAGTGTTCAAAATTGAATACTTTACACTTAGAGAACATTCCAGTTTTCACAGGAACATTTAGTTTTCAGGGGAAATCCTTAATCTGTATTTTGATCTTATAAAATTTATAGTTGAAGGGCACCTGGGTGGCTCAGTTGGTTAAGTGTCCAACTCTTGATTTGGCTTAGGTTGTGATCTCAGGATCATGAGTTCAAGCCCTGTTTTGGGCTCTGCACTCAGCAGGGAGTCTGCTCGAGATTCTCTCTCTCTCCCTCCCCTCTGTACTTCCCCCACTCACATGCCTGCTCCTTCTCTCCCAAATAAATAAGTAAATCTTTAAAAATAAATAAATAACAAAATTTATAGTTGAAAACGAGATTCACATACCTTAGATGCTTCGAACATACTAAAATTTTTCTCAATTACTGAGGAAATTATTAGTTTTTAAGTTTAAAGTAATTTTTTTAAAGAAACAGTTATTTTATTATTAGTATTTTGTTTTTTGTTTTTTTTAAATTAATTTTTTATTGGTGTTCAATTTACCAACATACAGAATAACACCCAGTGCTCACCCCGTCAAGTGCCCCCCTCAGTGCCTGTTACTCGTTACTCATTTGCCCTCACCCCCCGCCCTCCTCCCATTCCACCACCCCTAGTTCGTTTCCCAGAGTTAGGAGTCTTTATGTTCTGTCTCCCTTTTTGATATTTCCCACACATTTCTTCTCCCTTCCCTTCTATTCCCTTTCACTATTATTCATATTCCCCAAATGAATGAGAACATACCCTGTTTGTCCTTCTCCGATTGACTTACTTCACTCAGCATAATACCCTCCAGTTCCATCCATGCCAAAGCAAATGGTGGGTATTTGTCGTTTCTAATGGCTGAGTAATATTCCATTGTATACATAAACCACATCTTCTTTATCCATTCATCTTTCGATGGACACCAAGGCTCCTTCCACAGTTTGGCTATTGTGGACATTGCTGCTATAAACATTGGGGTGCAGGTGTCCTGGCGTTTCATTGCATCTGAATCTTTGGGGTAAATCCCCAACAGTGCAATTGCTGGGTCATAGGGCAGGTCTATTTTTAACTTTTTAAGGAACCTCCACACAGTTTTCCAGAGTGGCTGCACCAGTTCACATTCCCACCAACAGTGTAAGAGGTTTCCCTTTTCTCCACATCCTCTCCAACATTTGTGGTTTCCTGCCTTGTTAATTTTCCCCATTCTCACTGGTGTGAGGTGGTATCTCATTGTGGTTTTGATTTGTATTTCCCCGATGGCAAGTGATGCAGAGCATTTTCTTATGTGCATGTTGGCCATGTCTATGTCTTCCTCTGTGAGATTTCTGTTCATGTCCTTTGCCCATTCATGATTGGATTGTTTGTTTCTTTGGTGTTGAGTTTAAGAAGTTCTTTATAGATCTTGGAAACTAGCCCTTTATCTGATATGTCATTACAAATATCTTCTCCCATTCTGTAGGTTGTCTTTGAGTTTTGTTGACTGTATCCTTTGCTGTGCAAAAGCTTCTTATCTTGATGAAGTCCCAATAGTTCATTTTTGCTTTTGTTTCTTTTGCCTTTGTGGATGGATCTTGTAAGAAGTTTCGGGATCCCTGGGTGGCGCAGCGGTTTGGTGCCTGCCTTTGGCCCAGGGCGCGATCCTGGAGACCCGGGATTGAATCCCACGTCGGGCTCCCGGTGCGTGGACCCTGCTTCTCCCTCTGCCTGTGTCTCTGCCTCTCTCTCTCTCTCTCTCTCTCTCTCTGTGTGTGACTATCATAAATAAATAAAAATTTAAAAAAAAAGAAGTTTCTGTGGCCAAGTTCAAAAAGGTTGTTTGCCTGTGTTTTCTCCTAGGATTTTGATGGAATCTTGTCTCACATTTAGATCTTTCATCCATTTTGAGTTTATCTTTGTGTATGGTGAAAGAGAGTGGTCTAGTTTCATTCCTCTGCATGTGGATGTCCAATTTTCCCAGCACCATCTACTGAAGAGACTGTCTTTCTTCCAGTGGATCGTCTTTCCTCCTTTATCGAATATTAGTTGACCATAAAGTTCAGGGTCCACTTCTGGGTTCTCTATTCTGTTCCATTGATCTATGTGTCTGTTTTTGTGCCAGTACCACACTGTCTTGATGACCACAGCTTTGTAGTACAACCTGAAATCTGGCATTGTGATGCCCCCAGATATGGTTTTCTCTTTTAATATTCCCCTGGCGATTCGGGGTCTTTTCTGATTCCACACAAATCTTAAAATAATTTGTTCTAATTCTCTGAAGGAAGTCCATGGTATTTTGATAGGGATTGCATTAAACGTGTAAATTGCCCTGGGTAACATTGGACATTTTCTCAATATTAATTCTGCCAATCCAGGAGCATGGAATATTTTTCCATCTCTTTGTGTCTTCCTCAATTTCTTTCAGAAGTATTCTATAGTTTTTAGGGTATAGATCCTTTACCTCTTTGGTTAGGTTTATTCCTAGGTATCTTATGATTTTGTGTGCAATTGTAAATGGGATTGACTCCTTAATTTCTCTTTCTTCA